AGAATTTTTTGTCAGCCTCACCAAATTTCTGTCACCACTCTGAGAGCCTGCCGTAAATGCCAGATTGCCAGTGTTCCTGTCTCCCACTTGGAGAGGGCTCTTTCTCTCTTGACAAAAGCTCTCACAAGCAATAGCTGATAGCACCTTTGTTGAGAGCGCCTTTGGAGATCAGCATGCGAGAGCACTGCACGTATGCTTGGTGTGTGGGCACGAGTGAGATACCGTCTGGCCCATGGCGCAGACGAGACCCAGCCTAGTGATGAGCACTCCCACACAAGGCTTTGGTTTCCAGAGCAGAGAAACCGGGCACTTATTCCCAGCCCCGCTGGTGCTCCCAGACTGTTGCAGTCTGTTTTGCAGTTGGGGGCTCATGTTGGTCATGTTCAGTATCACCACGGCAGGTCTGCGGAGGCTGGCCGGATAGGGGCAGACGATGTGACAGCGTGGGGAAGTGTTTTTACACAAAGTGATTTTACACACCAGCAATTCCTAACAGCAGGAGGGATTTTTTTTCAGGGACTGCAGCTGATATAACTAGGAGTAGCCTGATCACTTCAGTGCAGCGGTGAGGGTTTGCAGAAGCAAAGGAGCAGACTCCTGGAGTGCAAACCCTGCTCTAGAAAAGCCGTGCTGGGTTTGGAGGTTGCATAAAGAGGGAGGCAGTGGTTGCATTAGCAAAATCCCAGGGAGCGTTTGGATCAAAGTCCCCTTCCCTGCATGCAAAAGAGTTTCATCATCATCTTCATCGTGACCATGTGGGCTAGCAGTGGGATTCTGCCATTCCCCCTGGGTCACCCCTTCTCCCCCCAGCCCCCAATACTGTCTGAGTGGGGCAGGTGTAGGACCACCTCCATTATTGGCATGTTTGAGACAGATGTTAAAACTGGTGATCTGTTAGCAATGGCCTTGGGGATTTGCCTGTGGTTTCTGCTGTAGTCATGCGTGCTTCGATTTCAGATAAAAGAGCCAAACTCTTTCACTTCTGGTATTTCCAGCCGCGTTTGGATTTATCTGAACGG